CCTGTCCGGCTAGGAGATTCTCAAATTCAACGAGAGAAGGTTGAGTGGACCAACCTTGAACCGCTGCTACAAAGCTTCTGAATTCTGGTTTTAGACCATGAATTATAATCCTTTTCATCCTTGTTTCGCTTATCTGTGACTGAGGATCAAGCTCTGTAATTTCTCTGCATGTAGACTTTACCTTGTGAAAGTACCGGGGAATTGTCATATCCCTCTGAGACACAGATACTAATTCATTCTCAAGAAGTTGTAACTTAGCATCATTCTTCTTAGAGAATAGGGTTTTCAACATATCCCAAGCCTCCTTTGGAGTCACTACATCCCTGATATGTTCCAGAATATCTTCTTCAACTGTTGTTTTTAAAACGAACATGGCCTTGCCTGCTTTAATCTTCCACTTGCGTAAGGTTCCATTGTTGTCTTCTGCCACCGGTTGACTTGTCTCTGACCCATTTACAACTTCTCAGAGATCTTGCCCTTGCATGTATGACATGATGCAGGTAGACCACGTGTTGTAATTCTGGTTGTTAAGTTTCTTCACTCCACCAGTAGTTTGAAGGTCAGCCATTGAACCTGACTCTGATACCAGTTTGTTAAACTTGAAGGCTAAAAGACACACACTTTTACAAACAATAAGATTATACGGGAAAGCACTAACATAAAAAAGGAAAAACTACTTCTGCATTAACATAAAACCAACTGAACAACATGCCTTATGAGGCTTACACGAGAAAAGAAACTGACAACTAAATGTAACTTCTACCAATAAAGTAACTACCCACTAAGGAAAGATAAAAGCTGAAAACTGAACAGAAAGAAATAAACATAAAATAGACAAAATAACTCGTGCACATGCATTTAGGTGTTGTACTTTTAACAGCTTACTCTAAGGCATTGAAAAGATCTCATCCACATGTTTATTCGGAAAAAAAAAGTTACAGCTTATGGCAATAAGATATAAGATGACTTGTCGAATGTTTATATTTTTTTGGTGGATCATTCGGAAAAAAGCACGAGCCCTATTTGGTTGTCCTCTTTACATGTGGATGAATATCTTAGGTAAAATAATGGGACCACGAGTATGAAATTTGAAACTTGGTGATTGTTTTGGAATGTGTTGATTAAAAGATGTAGTTGATTGTTTTGGAACATTGTCTTATTGATTAAAACATGTAGTTGATTGTTTTGCTTATTAAAACATGTTAATGGTTTTTTTGTACACTAACCAATGATGCGTAAAAATATCATTTTTTCTTTCTTTTAAACTTGAGAATATAACTTTAATATCTTTTCAACACCGATAATTATTTTTTCCCTTCACTTTCTTTTCCTAAACTTTAAAACTCGAGAACAAAATGTAAATGTATAATTACAATTCAGTCGTAATGTAACTTAATGTTCATTTTTTAATATCCGATGTAACAATAGTGAAACAACTTGTATAATTTAACATCACCCCCTCTCATGGTGGCCAAATATCAAAACGGATTGCTCTTGGTATTATTCTTACATAAAATGATGGCATCGATTTATTTTAAAATCTTGAAAATTTATGTCCACAAATGATTTTATCATTTTATGTCATGTGCTTCACTATTTCTAAACCCACCTCACATTTGGGTAAATCTCTTTGAAAATGATTTGTTGTGAATGCAAATTTATAATGGAAGGCAAGCACTATTGAAAATATTTTCCAAAAGTTCATAGAGCAATGCTCATAAATTGTCAACTTTTTAATCAATAGTTATGAAGATTTTTTGTTTTTGTTCAAAACAATTATGGTGCTTCCTCTCACATGTATCATTCTAATGAAATGGTTCATAATGAAGCAAAATATATACTATGTGAACTTTCTTGCATTTTCCTGTCAAGTGAAAGACTTGATTATTGATGGAAAGAATAAAAAGGACATGTTTGTGTGAAGAATAAAACTCCATTATCCTTCATAGGCCGACATAAATCGCACGCCGGATTGGCCTTTCTCTTTTGATGGGTGTTGGATATTCCTTGAAAATGAAAGGGCCACTATTTATTGCATGCTACTACTCTATATGTCTAGCGAATAAATATTTACATGGAGTTTGTCTAATAAGTCAAAGATCAAAAATGATTTGTATATTTAAGTCAAATGAGACTTTTGAATATAAAATTTCAGGAATAATTTTGTCTCTATTATTATAAACTTTCAACAATATTTATCAAATGAATAAAACCGATCAAATCCAATATCCAGTTGGATAGGTTGTTAAATTGGTCCTAACTAATAGCTAATTGGATTTAACCATTTGATATTTTGATAAGAGTCATAGAGATGTCGTCTTTTGAACATAATTTCTACATAAAGCTTCTACTTTGGTTGATCTAGTTAGAATAAATTAGATCCATGGTTTTTGAGAATTCATTTTTCTAATATTTTTTTTATTTATTTCAATTGTATTTTATTATTGCTTAAAATTCTTTCAAGTACTGCCAATTCTTTCAAGGACCATCACCATCACATACCATTAACAACCAAACGATACCAGATTTAGTAATATACATCTTCTTCGACATGAAAAAATCTGGATATGAAATTTGACTCATTATCGATCTCTAGATGACTCCAAAAAGCTTTTGGTGTTAGAAGTCATATTCTTAACCTTTTTCCTCTTTCTCGTTTATGCTTTCTCAAGGTCTTAAACTCATAATTAATATGATAATTAGTAAGGATGTTGATGCAGCTTTAAAGCACGCATTTATCTGAAAACGTAGTAGTTTTGGATACTCGTGTGGACTGTTGGATCGGTTATGGGGTGTTTGTTTTTTATGCTTTTAATAGTGAATGTGAATGAGATTTGATTTGGTATGTTTTCTTGTGAAATATGATCCACTAACAATTTTGTTGCCTCATGATTGTCCAAGTGACCTCTACATTTTTTGTTTATATTTCCACTTATGTCTATGTTTATACCATTAGATTACCAACTATGTATGTTCTGATTTCAAGTTTGTTCCATTAAAGTTTAAGTTAACGCCTAAGCAATACTTTGAATTTTACCACTTTGGAATAGTAATGGCTGATTTGTTTTTGTTTCATCATTTTTCAATTGGCTTTATTCTATATACCAGTTTAGATATTTAGCCCTAGATTCGGCCACCATCTAAATAAAATAGGCAGGGGTCGGTCCAAGTGGCATGGATGGAGGGATACATTCCTCCCATCGATCCCCACCCCAAAATATAATTAAATCCTCACTTCCAAATCAATGAGGTTGTCACCAATCACTACCCCCATTTTGCAACCACTATGGATGTTATACAATTTGGTTTAATTAGTTTCATTTTGTTAGGTTTTTAACATTTCTAAATGAATTGTAACCAAACTAAATAAGGTGAATTTTAATAATTAAATTAGTTATGGGTTATTCAACTCTGGGTTTCTCAATGTGGTTAACAACGTAAAACAAATAAAATTTAAATTCTAAATTTTTTCCTTGAATAAAAAAAGATGTGGAACAAACCAAAATGTGCACCAATTATAACATTAGATTCGAAATACGTTGTTGTTTGCCTTGAAAAATCTTAGAAGATTATATTTTTGATAGTATTCCGGCGAGCTCTTCTAATTGATTCGTTCATATGAAACATAAACCAAAAGTTAATTAGGATCTTTGGCTTCAAACCCACTTATGACTATCACTTTGTAATATCATTTTACCTAGAATCTTGTTAGTTAATATATCCATCCGTTAAAAAAAATTATAACATTAATTTAGTACTAGAAACACATCTCTAACATTAGAAAATTTATAGAGTAAAATTAGACACCTATCTTTATAATTTGCAAGATATTTTTACAACTTACAAAGTAAATTTCATACCTACTTTATATTTAAACAATAGATAGTTACAAAGTAAATTTCATAGCCATACAAATTGAGTTACTTGAAAAACATGGTTGTGCATGAACAACCTTCTTCCTTTTCTTCCCATCACCAAATCCCACCACTTTAAAAACATGGTTACACAAACTTAGATCTAGTTACCATCTAAATTAACGAAGATACAAAGCCTTATATCCAATTATTTAGCCCTAGAATCGGTCACCATGGACATGGATTTAAGGACGGTGGTCCACAACGAATATGAAGTTAACGGTGAGGAAGGGCGATGTAGAAGACATATACATGGCTTATCCTCTTCAAACTCAGACCACCTCACCATGTTTGGTTCTTCCTCGGTTTAATCACCAGATTTGCTAACAAAAGTTCTTTTTTTCCTCTATAAGTGGTTTGCCTTCATTGGTAACTGATGGTTAAAAAACTAGTTTGGATTAGTCCAACTGATTAAAGACTTTGACGATGACATAGGAATCATGGCATGTCCACGAGCGGTGATACAAATCTTTCTCATATTGATAACACCTCCCTAAACGTTTTCTCTAGATACTTGGTTAACCAAAGGGGCCTTCTTTGCACCGATCAACAACTCCACATTAGAGGTTCAAGAGGCCCTTTAGTCGACCGGTTCAAGCTAAACTCTGTTGTTTTCTTTATCGCCTTTGCCAATATGCGACAATGAAGGTAGAAAATCTTAGCCTTTTTAGTTGTCATAATAGGCTCATTAGAACAAATTGCAGGAGGTCAAAGTCAAACTATGCTAATGGATAAAAAGACCAACCATGCAGTAAAAATAAACCCTAAAAGAATTGCTCCTAAAAAATACTTAGACTAAAGTTGAAATTTTGTAGGGACCAAGAATGCATTCTTATGTATTTTAAAGTACCAAGTCAATCTTCTTTCACGGTTTAAATGCTAATCTCACTCGCCATTCGCTAATATATCTGTTGGGATTCGATTTCCTATATCTACGCGGTTACCCCATTTCTCTCATCCACCCTCCATATATTTGCTTTGAATTCACGCTTCAATTTTTTCCATCGATCTTCTTCACTCCTAGATCTGCATTCAATCATCTGTTCTTCAACAAATTCATACACTACACAAGCAGCATCAGCAACAATGGTGGCCAAAAGGTTCATTTCTTTATTGGCTTTCACACTTCTGTTTACTCTCTCTGTTTCTTCAGATCCAGCCGGAGTTTCGCCGTCTCCTGCTCCACAAAGCGGTTCTGATGATCAACCTACAATTCCATCTCCATCTCCATCTCCTTCAGCCGGTTCTCCACCAGCACCTCCGCCGTCGTCAGATCTGGCTCCCACTCCTACTTCCACTCCGCCACCCGCTACGTCTGCACCTCCAGCTATATCTCCGGCACCGGAAACGGCGGATGATAATGATCTGTCCTCTGCCAATGTGAAAAGCGAGGAATCGAATAAATCTTCGTCAGGAGGAATGAGCGGCGGGAAGAAGGCCGGGATTGCGATCGGAGTAATCGCTGCCGCTTGTGTTGTCGGATTTGGAGGATTGCTGTACAAGAAACGCCAACAGAACATCCGGCGAGCAGAATTCAGCTCCGCCGCAAGAAGAGAGTTCCTCTAAAATTCGAATCTGGCCACATCATCATAATCTAGATCTAGATCTATACAAAGGTGGACATTATCTCATCATCACAGTATCACATTATCATCATACATTATGCTGTAAATTTCATTCAGATCTTGTGGATCCATTCGTTTGATTCTTTACATACTAGTTACTTCCGAATTCTACCTTCTGAGTTCTGATTTTTAGCGTGCTATTCATTGTAAGTTAACTTGATCTGATCGAGCTGTTATCTACACTTATTATCAATCTAGATGATTGAATTTCTTATCAGTATTCGTCTAACATACTTCTTGAATCATTGTCAATAAATCAAATTGTCATAATACTTTGTTGTTCAGTATACAGAACATTCTTTCCTCTTTTTTTTCCTATCTCTACTAACATTGCAGGATCACGACAATCCAAATTTCCAACATTCTCTTCAATTCTGCAACTTGATACTAAACCTAGCTTCCTCTGCGATTTGTATTCCCAATTTCAATATCACGAGCTTGAGAAGATGAAGAAGATGAAGAAGAAGAAGAAGATGCAGTTTGGAGTTGGGTGCGCCTTGATTCTGGACGCAAAACAATCTGGGAATTCATTTGTTGATCCGATCTACTATGCCACCATCTGTTTCTAAATCTTAGAATTTCAACAAGAATCGAACTTCCACTCATTGCAACTCCACATCCTGCAAATGTTGCAAGAAGAATCGACAAAACTGGCTGAACATGAACCTGAACATGAACATTAACATGAAAAACATGAACACCATTAAACACACAGTGAATGCAAATCATGCAATTGAGATTCTTAGTTCTTACCACAGAGTAGAAAATATGGGCGAAGATTACAACGAAAGCAAACTGAACTGAAGCATATAGCCAAACAAATCTTTTTTTCACTGTAAACAGATCAAGATCTTTGAGTCAGAAATTGCAAACACGAAGAACACAATGAATCGATATCTGAATTATTACCCATTGTTGATGATGTCATGGATGAAAGAAGACCCAAAACACATGAAAAGGGAAGAGAAAGTGCAATTGCACTCGTACCCATGTCACCAACCTTAATAAACAAACTAAATTTATGAATATTTCATGGTTTAGATACTAAATTATGTAATGATATTGAGTCTTACTTACCAGTAGTTGCTCAATGAAACAGAAATATGCCAACATGCTGACAATAACAAGAATCGGCACTTCTTGCCATACGCGATACACATCACTGCCAAATTCAAGATAGACATTAGATTTAGTTAGGTCTTGTATACATCAAGTCTCTTTCTTTTCTAAAATGAATTAAAAAGGACAATTAGTAAAAATGTTAGTGTCTCAATACATCAAGCCAATTTTTTGGCTTAACACATTAAGTTATTCTATCCGTTAAAAAGAAAAGAAAACCATGTATAGCTGTTGAGATTAAGTGCTTAACCCATTAAGTAAAAAAAATGGAGTGCTTTATAAAATTGAAGTGGTAAAATTTTCATGAACTTGCCCGTATCCGTCTACTTCCATGGGGTTTGGTCTACTTGCACCATTGATTCGGTTTCTGACACTGCTTTGGATCCTTAAAAGGGTAACGGGTAAGTTTTGCACATCTTGATGGCACACATCGCACGTTTTGTTCCCTTTGATGCTAAACCATTTTACAGCACAATCTTTATGAGCCAATGCGAGTTCCCCTTTGCAACTACATTCCATTTTTAGGGTTTCTCCACCTTCGCATAATTCAACCAAACATATCCTACAAACAGCTTCTTCTTCTGGTATATCTTCACCATCTCCTTCTTCATTATCTAAAACAAATCAAACAAATAAGACTCAAAGATTCAAAATGATCGTGTAAGTTTGTGAAATGGCGGAAATACCCTTGTCACGAGCTGGAGAAGGGATTGGTGAAATGGTGTTGAAATCTTTCACTCGTGGGGTTGAAGGTATCACACGGAAAAAAGAATCCACTCTTTTGATTGTTATATCTTCATTGAGGACCGGGACTGATCGTGACCGCACTATATGCACTTGAACTTTAGTCTACAAATAATCACATGTTAAAAGATTATAATTTTATCTATAAAAAAATGTTATTTTTCCATCGATCAAATAATGTATAGAGTGAGCCATTAGAAGGGCTATTGTCTATATGGAGCCCAAACTACATTAAAATTTAAACTCCTATGTGTGTTGGTGTTTGGGAGTTTGGACTTGAACCCTTGACTTTTTCTGCAAACCATCCTGAAACCAAATGTAACTTTTTACAAGCAGACGTACCTCCAAATTAAGGGAACCACCCGAGTTGCCCAGTACAGATTGGGCAACTGGGGTGACTGGTAGAGAAGATGTCCTTTGAGGGCCAAATATTTTGGAAAGAGACCATGATCTTGGGATTGAAGGCTTCTCTTGTGGTATAGAAGACGAGACTGATGGAATTACATTTCCATCGGTCTTTTCTGTATCCAGAATTGTATTCCGGTTCATAAATTTTGGTAGTAAACTTTTCTTTGAAGATTTGGATCTTGATGAGAAAGTAGTGGGAGCTCCATTTGCTTTAATATCCGAAGGGCTTTGTGTGAGATTGAAATATACTTTCTTAGGAGTCGGAATCGTTGTTTGGCCAATCTTGATTTGAACAGATTCTTGTGATGAAGAAGCTTGTGGTGTTCTTGATGGAATCTCCAAGAACAAATTTTGTTTTTTCCAATTTTTCCCATTTGGTGTTTCCGTATTTTTAGTAGAAATATCTTCTTCTCCCTGAAAACAATCAAGAAAATTCATCAAAACGAACAAATAAAATTTGTGTTCTTTAGTTAATTTGCAAGTTTTTGGTTATTAATAATATTTACATGGTTTTCAGTTGATTAGAGGTTTACTATTAGGTTTGAGATGTTGCATAGAAAACAAATTGTAATGATAAGTGGGAATTAAAGTTATAATCAAAAGCAATATTACTTTTTGCATATAAACAAAGATTAACCTTTTGTACTTGCTTTTTTTCCTTCATATAAGGGACTTCTCACCAAATATTGTTAATAAAAAACAAATGTCGTTTAGCATAAGCATAATGATTAGAATTTGGGTCATTTTTTAGCAAGAAACGTAATGATTTCATTGTCTTTAAGGATAAATCATTAGTTGCCAAATCATGTTGAATTAAAGCAACCATCATGAGTGATACAAGTCTTGTAAGCTAAGTTACGATCATGAAAATTTGAGTGATAGAAAGGTTTTAATTTTTTTTTTTGAAAAATAAAGTAAATGTTTTTTTTCATGAGAAAGTGTTTTTGGTCCAAAACTACTTTTAATAAAAGCATGAATTTTTTGTTCCTCAAAACATTCTCTAAAATGAATCTGCAAAAGTGATATGACTTTAACAAAGGTAACAAATTCAAATCACATAGCATTGAAATTACATAATGAACCTAATTTCATTTTTATCTTTCATCTAAAAAGTAGGCAAACTTTCAAACTGACAACATCAAATTTCTTTATGAAAAAACAAAGAAATAATTATAATTTAACAATGTGTGTACTCAATTAGCCATATTATGAGCACAAATTTTGTTTCTGCCAGATTGTAATCAACATGAAGTTCAATGAAGTTGATATGACAAAGAAAGATACCCATATGCTAAAAACTTGAAAAGATCATAACTTGATCAATAAATATTTGAATTAAGGTAGACCCTTAAGACATTTCATATAATAAGGCATTTGAATAGATTCAAAGAGAGCAATATCAAGAACAAATCAATGAAGAAAAAAGAAAACAAGGGAAGAAAATGAAAACCAGCCTTTTGAATAGGTATGGCAACTTCTTTACTTTGAGATGAACTTGAATCATGCCCTTCTGATACAAACATGATACTTTTGTTATTATTCTCTTGAGAGTTCATGGTTTCATGAAGCAATTTGTGATGGGTTTCGATCTTTATTGAAAACCCCGAATTTGAAAGCGAAAATATTGAAGAAAAATGTTGAAGATGAAGGGGAAGGTAAAGAAAAGAAGGGTCTTTAATGGCAGAAAATCATGGGGATGATATGGTGGTGTCATTTAAAACACTCTTTATCTCTCTCACACACATACACAAAATAGAGGAATGGGCCTACTTCACTCCTCATCTCCTTATTTGTTTTGTGGTTTTCTTGAAATTAGTCATTCCACTCTCACCCACCCTCACCCCACCCACCCCTTCTTTTCTTCCCTTTTATCACTCGAGTTCATCACGACTTTTGAAATTTGATTATGATGTCACAATAGCTTATTTGAGAATGTTGTTGATGTTATTTTCTTTTTAACTAAACAAACATGACATGGGGGACTCCTTTGTAACCATATGTTTCTTTTTAGTAATATGTGTAGAGTAAGCAAGACTTGTCTTAATTTGTATGGAGTCTTTCTAATTATTACTTTGTTTATTTTGAAATTATAAAACCAGAACAATATATAACAACTATACATGTTGTTATTACTATAAATAAAGATTTACAAATAAATGACAACATACATCAATTCGACGGTATGGGTCTATTTATGGATTTCAATTATTTTAGTTTAGTTACATCATGCTCTTGAAACTTTTGTCTATATGTTCTAATTTTGTTGGTGATATATTTTGGAGATAGATCCACGTTTGTTACTATTAAGTATTAGGCGAATATAGTTACGCAATATAAAATAATATAAATTAACAAATATATGCTATAAGATATAACTATTTTGTTTTCATTCATTTTGAAATTACAATTCTTATGTTAATTGGTTATAAACCTTTGTAATTATTTTAAATATACGATAAGATAAATACATATTGAAATCACATCATCTCAATAGTTTTTACCAAAGTTGTCAAGATTGGAGTCCTACGTAGTATCGTTTTTAGGTTTGCAAGATCGTAGTATCGTTTTTAGGTTTGCAAGATCGGGATCGGGATCCTAAGAACCCACAAAATAAAATATAATTTTAATTTATAATTTTAAAACATGAAAACTATTTCAAACATTCTACTT